AGAAAGAGAAACTGAGACACTGACTTGGATGTAGCTGGGTGTGGGCATACTTTATCACATACTTGCTGGGATAAACATATCTGGTTTTGAGAAATGAGAGTAGAATTGATAATTTTAAGAAATTAACTTTTTATTGTGAAAGCAGTGATATCTGCTATGTTACTAGTGAAAAAACCCCCCTCCATGATATTTTCTGAGGGAAAAAAAGTAAACGGAGACCACTCCTTAAAAAGTCTGGGAAATGTGTTTCCATTTTCTCATTCTCACCTTAAACACTGAAACTGTTTCCTCCTCTGCGCTGTCACTACTCATTTTCTTCTGTTTTAAGTGTCAGCATACCAATTGTAATACATTGTGTGAGTCAGACCCACGTGTAAGTTGCCATAATAGTGGCATAAAGTTTTAGAAGATTATGGTAGTTTAACCTTCAACAATTTTATAATAGTTTAAGATGTTACAATGAAATGAACAAATGAACAGTGAACAAAATCTGATTTTCAAATAGGTTCTTCAGATAGTTTGCCTTCATTATCATGTCTCTGTGGTCCCACTCTTCTGAAAACAGCTTTCAGCAGCTTTCCGCAGGTTGAGAGATCAGTCTGATTTCCAGGTAGGTCTTCAGAAGCAGCAGTGTGAGTGAGACAGAGAGAGAAACTAAATGGAACAGGCCAGCCTTTTAGAGAGACCATCTATTTCCCGCTGCTCGCCAGTTGGGGAAGTATAAACTGTTCTTCCCTGTTGTAGATTTGACTCGAAGTTACTAGAACAATCCTAACAATTCAAGATATATGTCTCACGAATGTATTCTGAATCATACCTGTACCCCATGTTTGCATTCGTGTGTTTGTGTGAAACAGAAATACATAGAGATAGACGGACACGGACAGACAGGGAGAACTTTGCTGCCACATGTTTTTATGCTCTTTTTCAAGTTGATTTCAAAGATGAAAAATCCTGGTGAGGCCACTAAGAGCTGAATTAAATATGTTAGTGAATATTTTTCTAACCCTGTTATTAGTATAAACTCTACTTGTAAACTGTGTTAATAAAATCTGTTAATTATAGAAGCTGTATTTGAAACCTTTTCATGGGTGTTATTTTGTTTTAAAACAATTGCTCCACAAATTGACATTAAAGTAGACAAAGATCAGCAGTATATCACATTGAATCAAAATAAATAAAATCCTTTAACTGGTTGAACTGGTACAAATAGACAGATGCTTAGTAACTAGGATCCGGTGTGTGTTTTGGCGAGTCCACGATTCACTGATTCAGTTGGCGACTTTAGTATTTGAAAATAGCAAATCTACTGAAAAATAATTAATGGGAGTAAATGGAAACAAAGGATTTTGTGGTGTTAACTGTTTTTTTGTTTATTTGCTTTTTAGTGTACAATATTCTCTTGATTTGTGTGAATTAATGTTATGCCTTGAAACTCAGCACCTTCAAAGGGAAGTAGAAGTTCTACATTCTTAGTATTTTTTTCTCTATTTAGTGAGTCAGCTAGTTACAGACAGGTCATCTTTAAGAACCAGCTTTGGTGTCCTACGGCTGTGCTGTACTCCTCTTATGTTAAGCAGCTGGCACTGAGCCACCAGCCCCCAATTGTTGCAAGTGTACTGAATTAAATTTTAATTGAAGTTAAGCCACTTAAGTTGCTTAAAGTATTAGCTCCTATAAGGTTCCTCCTTTTCATTTCTTTCTTTCCCTCTCTGTTTACTGTTAGTTTGTTTCTCTTTATTTCCTTTTCTTCATCTGGGAAGACAATGGGAGAGAACAGAATATATTTTTAATCTAAAAGACTACTATGAAAAAAAGGACTACTTTAATAAGTAACATTAAAAATAAAAAACCCCAGCCCTGGCTGGTGTTGCTCAGTTGGTTGGAAGCCCTCCAGTGCACCGAAAGGTCACCTGGATTTGATAACCGGTCAGGGCACATACCCAGGTTACGAGTTCGATCCCTGGTTGGGGTGCATGTGGGAGGCAACCGGTTGATGTTTCTCTTTCACATCAGTGTTTCTCTCAAATCAATAAAAACATAAAAAGAGAAAGAAAAAAACCCCAAAACATTTAATACATTCATGCTCTTATCTCAAGGCATGAATTCTGTGTACTTTGCTTTTGCTATATCTCTGTCACTCATGAAAACATTTGAATGCGTTTGACCGAATGGTTGAATAGTTATTGAAGGCCTTTCATGATATAAACTAAAGATGTCCTAAAAGTTTTAGCCATTGCCTATCAGTTCAGTTTCCTTTATCTTACACTGCAGTTTCTGAGATGTTAAGTTTCTGTAAAGCATCTGTAAAGTGACCCTTTGTGGGTCAGACAAAACACCCGAGGCCTCAGAATGCCAGGTGAGAACTAGAAACCGAAGACTCTTAGGTTCAGTTTTGCTTGATGACTTTATATTCCTTCCGAGTCACCTCTGTGCTTACAATTTGTTCATTTATTTGAAGTCTACTAATCCATTTAGAGGCATTAAAATTTCTTCTCAAACTTATTTTCACTCAGAGTAAGGACCTAACATGATTGTCCTTCATCTTAACAGTAAATTCTGGAAAGTAGTTTCTTCACCTTTGTTTTTAAAAAATGTATGTAGCTTTGAAGCAGAAACAAGATGGACTGTTCACGAGTTACTAATATTAATGGAAAATTGGTAATCATATGCCTGCTTTTACTTCGCTTAAATGCCTCTATATTAATCAGATCTCTTATTGCCAATCAGTGAATGCTAAATAACCAGTATTGAACCATCGGACTCAATAGAGTTTAAAGCTGCCACTGTCATCTGCAAAATGCTTTGTGAATGTGATACTGAGAGCCATGATGACTTTCATGTGCATACTTTGGTTTAGTTAACTTTCATGTGCATTATTGGATTTGATCTATGCAGGCAAAGCAGGCCTTAGATCCATAGTACAGATGAGATGATCCAGACCTAGAGAGGCTGTGACCACGTAGCTGGCGAGTGGCAGAGCTATTCAATTTGAGAAATTTTTTTTTTTTTTTAAATATATCTTTATTGATTTCAGAGAGAGGAAAGGAGAGGGAGAGACAGATAGAAACATCAATGATGAGAGAGTCATTGATCGAGCCCAGGGCATGTGCCCTGACCGGTAATGGAACCCCGATCGCCTGGATCCCAGGTCGACGCTCAACCGCTGAGCCACGTCCAGCCGGGCTCAATTTGAGATTTTAATCAGGTTCTTTGTATTCAGTCTTTGTTTTCTTCTTTTCTACCCTGCCAACTTTATCTGTCCACCAGTAAATATTTGTGTTTGGAGAGTTTGAAAGCTGTCATAATTTATTCTAGAAGTAATAACTGTTGTTTGTTTTACTGCCCTCCTCCATGGGTTATTATAAAGCATTGATCCCCTTTTTTCCTCTGACCTTACTCCACCCTGTTCATGAAAAAAATCATTTTGAAAAAACATAGACATGTTATTACTTTACACTTAGGCATTTAATGGACTGTTTGTTGGTCATAAAATGTTGATGGATACGTTTTATAACTTGGGAATAGGAAAAGTGTTTTCTAGATGATCACAGTTTGTACGTGACAAGATTAAAGAGCATTCCCACTCACCCCGGCGTCACTCGTGGGAGACGTGTGTTCTCTTTCTCTTGTGCATTTTATACAAATTTTATTAACCCTACTTGCTTCGATGAGATGCTGTTGTCCTTTTTCTTCGTGCTACCTTTTTCTTTTCCATTTAAAATGTTAAGATTTGAAAATAGATATTAAAACGCGAAACTGGTTAGGGTTTCTGGACTCTTACTGAATTGAGGAGGAAGGAGGTAAATAAGAGAACGGTTGTGAACCTGTGAGTGAAAATGTGAGTGGGTGACTTGAAGTCTAAAGATGACTGTGGTCTTGGGCGTGCTGGACCTTTTAATGATCAAAGAACAGGCGTGCAGGGCGAGGGCTGAAAAGGGATGACCGAGGAAACCAGTGAAGCGGAAAGTGGGAAAGCCTTAGCTCTCATTTGGAGCTGAGTACTTACAAAAGTTGCCGGGGGAAAATGAAGTTATTATTGCCTTCTCAGAGTTAAAAAATAATCCAATTTCGACCACTGTTTTGCCTAACAGGAAGCCTGTGGACCTGCAGAACTTGGCTCCCGGGACCCACCCACCATTTATAACTTTCAACAGTGAAGTCAAAACAGATGTAAATAAGATTGAAGAATTTCTTGAAGAAGTCTTATGCCCTCCCAAGTGAGTACCAAAGGAAAATGCCCGGAGATACTGCCACCTTTGTAAAGCTTTGTCTTCTTTAGCACTTGAGTTGAATTCTCACCGTGCTAAGATGGAATGACTAGGACTTCTCTTCATTTATTATAACTGATTCTACCCAGAGGTCAGAGGCTTCTGGCCACCACTAGCCGCACTAAGAAGGGTAGGCATCTGATTAGGTAGGAAGCTGTAGAGGTTTGCGGCATGTAAGATAGGTTGGGAAACACTGGTTATTTGAGGGATATAGGTTCCAAATAAAGTTTCGGGAGGAGAAGAGATGGGGAAAGAGATTCAAACTGAACCCAGCCAGAATGTCTTAGCAGGTGTGCGGTGCAGGTTGCTGGGGGATTTACTATCAGGTCATTTTAAAGGTAACGTTCTGAAGCTGACACCCAAGGGAATTGACTTTTTAGACTGTGTCCCTGGGATTCATTTTCTATTTATGTGTTTCTTTGAGGTGTTCTAGATCCCCAGGTCCCACGTGGTTAGCAATCTTAAAGTACTATTTCCTATAATGTAAGGTACAGTTGTAGAATAGATGAACTCTCATGACAGTTATCTAAGTTGCACATATGCAGTTCTGCATCATACTGGAGTCTTGGCATAGGTTTAAAGCATTACTGATTTTGTTTAGGCTTTTCCAGTTTCATTATCCTGAAAACTGAAATTTTTTTTCCTTCTGGCCCAAGCCTTTCTTGCTAGTTGACGTCACTTATCTTCCATATCCAGATAAATTTTCCAGGAATGGGATCATTGGGTCAGACAGCGGGTTCTAAAATAATTAATTAGTCAACATTCATTCACTCTGCAAACAGTTACTGGGCGGCAAAGCCTTGTGCACACAATAGTGAGTAAGACACAGTTCCCGCAGCACAGTCAGGTACAGGTGGTGGCGATGGGG